TTATTTTCAGCCTTTTAGCGCAGCTCGGCAAGTAAATTTTCAAAAAAAAAGAGATTGCGTTATTTTATCGAGCAAGTCATTCGTGAAATAGAGCTAGAAACCGTCACCACGGTCTTGGGAAAACTGTGTTAACTGGTTGCGCTACTGCGAAGTCAGCCACATAAATGAAATCGAGTACCATAAATAATGGGAAAGTTTGCTTTTTCCAATAAACCAGTAATATACCGAGATAATAGATTTTTGTTAATTTTTGGAATTTGTCAAAATAAACCACTATAGGACTCCCCTTTATTTATGCATAAGGACTGGGTCCAGGAAAATTGTACATACCTATATATGTCAGATTTACGAAAACTAAAGCATTTGGTTTGTAGATTTAAAACAAATTCGGGTAAAATGGTAAAAGAGAACTTTCATTTTCTATACAAAGTTTAAAATTTTCTGGAACCCCGCTTATTAGTTAGTGTTGTTACGGTCTTGTCTTCAACCCTCAAAAATACTGGAGACTACTTTTGTGCAAGCGGCCGCTGTGATGTAGTCGTAAGCAGTGCGCGCTTCCACTCCGCAGCGCCTGGGTTCAAGCCCTGGTCAAAGCAAAAAATCTAGAAAAAAAATGGTTTTCTTAACTGCGGTCGCCCCTCGGCAGACAATGGCAAACCTCCGAGTGTATTTCTGCCATAAAAAACAGCTTCTCATAAAAATACAATCGCCGTTCGGAGTCGGCGTAAAACTGTAGGTCCCTCCCCTTTGTGTGACAACATCAAGGCGAACGCCACAAATCGAAGGAGAAGCTCGGCCAAACACTAACATATGTGTAAGCGCCAATCTATTATTATTATTTAGTTTTGTGTTAAGTTTGTAGCTCTGTGGTCACTTCTATCGTGACCTTCATTTGCCTTTTAATGAGAGCTCAATATCTTTCGATCGGTCTTAGTTTATCACAGTTTGGTGGATTGTTTTTTTTACGTCAAATGAAGAAATAACACCAACATTAAGCATATGTTTGTTTGTGTGAACTACGAAAATTGTATTTCGTCATTTCCTGCAGCCAACTTCACGCCTCGTCAAAATCGCTTTTGTTTAGGTATGGCTGTTAGTGTAAACACCTCAAGGCTCGTTTCGCACCGCCTTTCTTCGCTCGACACCCGCTCGGCATTTTGTGTATACGCACTAGGGTTGCGGAGCTGTTGAACTAAAGAACGACAGAGCCAGCTCTTTTAATCGAACTTATTCATTAGTTCGTTCATTAAAGTGAACTGAATTTTTCCTTGTCAACACTCCAACAAAAAAATGGAAATGTAAGTATATGATTTAACAGATAAGACATCTCGATTTTTTTTGTAAGGGCACAATGAAACATATGATCGGAATTCAAGCTAAAAAGGCATTTAATTTGTGTAAAAAAGTAAATATTTGAGTTGAGTTTTTCGGATTTGTTTTTTAACAAAAGACTTTCGCAGATAACAAAACGAAGCGCAATTTGGTCGCATTTTGAAGGCGATATTGAAGAAAAGAAAATCAAATGCAGGCGCTGCCGAGTTTCCATCATCATTGTTGATGGCCCTCATGGACATTTTAATCACCATATGAAAGCTAGACATCCTTTCGTGATTTTGGAGAAAGACGAATCCGAGCTTCTCCTCCGATATGTGGCGTGCGCCTTGAAGTTGTCACACAAAGCGGAGGGACCTACAGTTTTACGCCGACTCCGAACGGCGATTGTATTTTTATGAGAAGCTGTTTTTCATGACAGAAATACACTCGGAGGTTTGCCATTGCCTGCCGAGGGACGACCGCTGTTAAGAAAAAACCTTTTTCTATATTATTTTGCGATGTTGCTGTGACCAGGGCTTGAACCCAGGCGTTGCGGAGTGGAAGCGCGCACTGCTTACCACAACACCACAGCGGCCGACAGCTGCTGCTTGGTCAGGCCAAATAAAAAGTGGATTCTTCATGCAAACGTAAGCATTCCTCCACGTACAAATCACTGTTTACTTTTTCCGATGACACGAATGAGCTAATTCTTTTGGATGTTTCACTAAAAAAAAAAAAGAGTTGTTCAGTAATTTCAGTTGTTGTTTTGAGGTCTAGTTCTTGACACATTTTTTGTTTTCCAAATATCTCAAAAAATCTCATTATTTTGATTCCGTTGCTAACATTTTTTAACATTTTTATGCGCACTTTTTATTACGGCTTATTTGATTTATAAGAACTCGTTTTTGGAGGTATTTAATAATCGGTCCCGTTTACGTAAATCTTAATATTTTTCCGAAATATTTTGGCGGAATTTTACAATTCTGAAAAAAAACACAGTACTGATTTTTTGTATGGAGAGTGATGCACTTTAATGTAGAAATATACGTATATACATATGTGTATATATAAGTTTGGTTTGTGAAGAAAAGCAATGTACTGCTTACAGGTGAAAAGGTGCTAAGTGCACTTTTTAAGAAATTTTATCACCTCGTGTATAATTGCACCTAATAGGAGATCAGTGAACGATTTTATTACCTATACTTCCACTGCTTGGTTTCAGAATTTCATTCCGTGATGCTATACCAACGTATTTGTAAAAGTTATTAACTTTTAAATACCTGATTATATGGAACTTTTTAAACAGCCTTAACGCTCTTGTACACACCCAAAAGTAGAAAATGACAACAAAATGTGACAAGCACTTAATCAAATAAGCTTTCACACCTACCCGCGGAGTCTAAACTAACTTCTGTTCGGCAATGTTCTAAGTATTTTCACAAATAATTTATTAAAGTTTTGTACAGATGGACAAATGGGGATCACTGCCACCCAAAGTGTTAATTATATGCCGCATGTCAGTCAAGGCCATGGAAAATAAACTTAACTTTAAAAGTTAGTTTCACATCAAGTGAGCTTCATTTACCACTAACAACTACATTTGTACATACATATGTATGCGCATGCTATAATGCTGTTGTTGTCGTAAATTTATAAAGTTGGCAAATAAGTAATTTTACTATAACATAATACTTAAATATTTTGCAGCGACGCTTAGGTATATTTGAATGTAAATACATACATACCAAACATTTTAAAACAGATATAAATACATGCATATATACGAGCATGTACATATGTACATACGATTACCGTAAAGGTGAGTTTTCACGCTTATGGCATCTGGTGCAAATTTGTGTTGTCAACAATTGCAATTGCAGAAATTGTACAAATGGTGATGATGAAAATGTTGATGTTGATGTTGATGTTGCTTGATGATGTTGACAAATGGTTATTTAGACGATATTAATGATACTTAAAAGCAAATTTTATAATATTTATATTACGTACATATTTCTGATAGACGACTTGTTGGCTACTTTGAATTTACTATTTATGCAGACAGCGGAGGGAAGTGCTTGGGTTTGTCTGAGCATTGTTTGGCGCGTTTATATTTGCGCGACATAAGCTATTACAAATTTACTAAACTAGCGACATACTGAGCGATTTGTATGAATCCATATACAAACATACATATGTATGTACTTATAAACTATCATAGGCAAAAAGGAATGATTCAAATAGTATTAAGTAATCTTGGATTAATAAAGAAAACCAATTAATAGTAGAAGCTCATATACATACTATATTAAGCCCATGGCTAAACCTCCTATGGGAGTATCCCGTCTACCCTTGCAGTTGCAAAGCTTCCCAAATGCTTAGCTAGAGTAGCTATAAAATCCAGGTATCTTTACAGATAACGAAGGGCAGAGGGCACTCGGTCTTGCCAGCTGGGCGTAGGAATATTTCGACCGCTACAAAGCTCCAGGGATAGATGTGATCAGCGTAATACTTTTGAGCAGGGTAGAACAGTAGAAGCCCCCCCCTTACTGTCACAACTAACTAGTAAACATCAAGCGAGTCTGTTTATGAAACGAAAGTAGAAACGTCTACAAGGAATTTTAATTGCTACTCAGTTCCTTCAATCTACAGCAAAGGAATTTATTACTTTTTCAATCCCTTACAAGTACGTAGTTTCAAACATTTTTTTCCATTCCATAAGAAAGAATTGCATATTGTAATTGGATTTTATTACGTGCTAGTAATGTAGTTAAGTTAAGTTTTCGAAGGTGCTAAGAAAGTAGGTAAATTATCGTCTTTCTCATGGGAGCTTTATTTATAGTCTCTTAACTCGAGTCTAAATATCGCACACTAACTTCAAGGGTTTACTAATTCAATATCTAGCTTTTCTTATCAATTTTACTTACATTTTTCAAATAGGTGGTAATCCGCTTCAAATATTTTTTCAACAGTAAACTTTCTTAAGCCTCTTTAATTCAATACTCATATTGTAATATTTCATTTATTTTATCAATTTAAATAAAAACCTAAAGTTTTTCAAACATATGGCAACCCCTTAGAAATATTTTCGGCAGCAAACTTTCCTAAACCTCTTTAAATTGGGTAATATTGCGATATTTAATTTATCTTGTCACTTCAATTGAATTAAAAATTTCAAACAGTTGGCAACCTTACACAAAAATTATCTCATCTGTAAGCCTTCTTAAACGTCTTTCGTTTGATAGCCACATTGCAGTATTTACCGTTATCTTATCAATTTACTTAAACTGCAATTTTCAACAGGTGGCCACTCTCTAATTTTTTCTTTCTATATGTATTATAAAATAGACCTCTAGCAATACATCGGTGAAAACTGCACTCAATTCCATGCATTAAATTTCGAGTGATGCGCGAACAAACATGCATACAGACAGACGGAGGAAAAAAATTCCAAAAATTATTGATTTGGGCTCTGTTGCTCTAATAAAGACAAGAAGTTTCTTCAATCATTAATGCCGCATATTAGGCCAAGGCCTATTTAGTTTTGTAGTCATTTACAAATATTTCGAATTAGAAAAAGGGCAATAGGGCATTCGTTTCTTGGCACTCGCATTTTCTCTTCAAATCCTTGTGCATACTACAGCATTATTGAATCCCCAATGCTTTCGTTTTTCATTTTCAGCAAAACAAAAATAATCAAAAAAAAAATAGCCACAAACACAGTGTTATGTCTCATTTACGTCAAACTACAACAGCGCTTGTAAAGCGTACCTCTTTTTCGGCTGCTGCAACAGCCATACCAAACGCTGCTGTAGCCTTGCCAGAAGCGTTAACGCATGAACCACCAAGGATCAATGCACCAGCAGCAGCAGGAGCACAAACAGCACACGTGTCCGTAGAAGCTGCCACAAGGTATGCACATACACATTTCTATAGTATGTCATATAAAAAATAGAAAATAAAAAACATGTATTTTACTCAAATTTCTTTCGACAGCATACCACCAGCCGCCGTGCATGCACGTCCTTACTCCGCCGTGCCAGGTCCTTGGGGTATGCCAGTATTGGGTAATTCATGGCGTTTTGCGCCGCTTGTTGGTGAGTTAAAATGAAATATTGAAACACAAAGCATAAAGCATATGAAAAATATGTATGTCGTTATTTATTTCAGGCCAATATCGCATACAAGATTTGGATAAGGTCATGAAGGAATTGCACATAAATTATGGCAAAATAGTCAAAGTTGGCGGCTTAATAGGACATCCGGATTTGCTGTTCGTTTACGATGGTGATGAAATTCGAAATATTTTTAAGAAGGAGGAAACCATGCCACACAGGTATAATACACAAAATAGGCTAGAGATATTTCAATCGGTTACGGAGTTAAACATACATATGTATGTATATCGAAATGTAGTTGCGGTGGAGTTAAGCGCATTTTTTTTTGACAATATAAAAATAAAATAAAGCCTTGCCTAAAAATGCTAGCTTCTTTACGTACTTAGCCAGGTTGGGTACTTAACAATTTTTTTTAATTTGAACGCATTATTACTGTTTTTTTTTTTTTTAAGATTTATTTGTATCACAGAAACTGAAAATTCTCAAAAAGCTCTGAATAAAACAAGACAATTTTAAGAAAAATCTCAAAAGGTGGCAAAAAAATCCCGATGGATTCCGATATCCGAAATCCGATATCATAATTTCGAAAATTGTTGTAAAACCATGAATCATTTCAATCTATTATCTTTATGTCAAAAAAGGAAGGCAAAAATTACACAACCAATCAAAAAAGCTTAGGCCGATACACAACGCTAGTACATGTATTTCAAAATTTTTTCCGCTGAATCCGAGTCTGAAGCTGGAATTGAGAGATTGACACGAATTTATGAGATAGCCTCGACATTTTTCTCTTATTTTGGTTTAGGAGCTGTTTTTTTTTGGAGTTTATCTCATATATTTTAGTAAATCTTGCAAGACTAACTTCAAAATCGGATTCAGTGAAAACGATACATTTAACGTCACAAACTATCTATGAGCGCGATAAAATTATAAATTCCATACAAATTATATAATTTCATCACTTTTATCGGCAGTTTGTGACGTAGTATCTCTAGTAAAACTTCTTTGTCTCTGTGTGCCTGTGTTACCGGCTATTTTCTGCATAAAAACTGCCAAAAGAAATTTTGCTTCACAACAATTTTTGCTTAACAAACTAAAAACATGTCCCAGATTTAGGCTCAAAATATTAAAAATCATAGTTGATTATTTAATATGAAAGAAAATGCACAACAACATCAACGCGATTTTTCTAAAAATTTGTAATACAAAGTTTAAAATATATTTGGGTGTAATTGTTAAAGTTTGTTGAATTTTTATAACTTTTGTACGAAGTTTGAGAGGTGGATTTATGAGGTGCTGGTTATGTGTTGTGCCAGACTTTAATAAAAAAAAATAGAAACATTAAATAAAGAAAAGAAAAATAAACAAAACTGGTCAAAATAAAAGTTAAGTGTCAACTTAATCAGCGAACCACAAGTGTATATATAATGTATACAGGGTGTCCTAGACCGCTCCTCCACTCCCTCCAAAATGGCGACAAATGTTTTTTTTATTCAATAACGCAAAAATATGACTTACCAAATAGGGGATGTCTATCTTTTGGTGATATTACCGACTCCCGGTTTCAAGCGGAAATAAGTTAAATTGACCAGAAGCCCATTTTTATAAATTATACACTTATATTACAGATTCGGATTGTGAGTGCCTTCTTCCACCGCTAAATGACATTTGAAATTCAAATCGTCCTGGACTTCTCCACTTACGTTAAAAACATGTATCTCGGAAATCACTTAACCGATCTGGGCCTCCTTAAGCTCCTTTTTAAAAATTTTGAAATCGGATAGAAACCACGCATTTTAATCAGGAAATATTAAATTGTAAGGGCTTCAAGATCTCTCTACAAAATAAAAGATGAAGCATTTGGAATTTCTATTAAAGTGTAACAACTCGAATATTTAGTGCGTACATACGAAATATGTATGTAAGTACCCAGTAGGAAAATGTAATGTATAGTATAGCAATCGAAAAACGAATCAGTACGATGTCCAACGAAAAGTGGATTTAATATTAATTTTTTGGGACTTTTTGGATACATTAAAAAGCTGATTACATATTAAACAGTAATAGAATCTAGAACTTATAAGAAATATATTACATTATTTATCACGCATGTAATGAACTATTACTTTTCTCACCGGGTATGTATTAATACAGATGTGTTCGTATGTGTTGATGAAGTGTGACGTGCAGCATTGATTTCCCTTATCTATGGCCTTCAATGATTGATCACATTCCGAAGGGACTGCTTATACTTACATCCCTGCAGGAAATGTATCTAACTATAAGCTAACTTTAAGTTGATTAGGAAGGAGCTAAAAGTCATTTATTATCTGTATATTTTCTTTGACGAAACTAACTATATTTCTATGGCGATGGCCGCGAAATAGTCAAGGGTGGTTTACCTCTGCATTAGATGTATTCAAAAGTATTTGATATAACTAACTTGTAACTAACTACTTGTGGACATAAAATATCAATAGGTAAAATAAAATATATTATTTTATTTTTTAATTTATTTTTTATTTTTATTTACTTCATTTTATTACATTTCCATATTCTGCTGTAGCGGGTCCCATATTCGTACTCGAATGATAATATAATAATTTCGATCTTCCTTTTATTTGTCCTAAATTCGAAAAAGTATTTGCGAAGTGCAGGATATTTAAATAAAAACGCGTTTAAAGAAACCAATCTCCTTCACTACTCCTGCATTACTTGTCAACTAGTTTCAAGTTAGCTTTTTGTAGCTAACTACAAGTTATATATTTATTTTAAAGAAATCCCGCAAAAAGCTAACTACAAATAGGTTATTTTTTATCAATTGACTAGCCAATGCCCGCTTACTTCGCGGCGCCTAATAAGAGCTTTTGCGTTAGCCAATGCAAAAGAGCGTTTAAAAACAAAATTAGTCTGTAAAGTCAAAGTTTTTGATTTAAGTTGAAACCACTAAGGCGCAGTATCCTCCTCACACATAGGCAAATAGTAGTAACGCTGTGATACCATATGGAATACCAATCCCTTTTGGTGTCATGAGCTTTACTGATGGTCTTATTTTCACCTGTGAGATCTCTGCCAATCATGCGTAATCTTTTTGTATGATCTTACGTATGCCAATAAAAGTTCTTATAGGGAAACTCAAGAGCACAGAAGTGCATTTTCTTTATAGGAAGGCCAAGAATCCTCGCTGTCCCATAGGATGAAAAGTTTTCCGGTACATAGCTAAATGAGTAGTGTGATCTCTTAAGTATCTTTCAAATGAAGCAGTTGATATACCTACGGTGATCTTTCCTTGTTAATTCACCACTTTTACAATTCGTGGTAAAATTTATGAACTGATTTCAGGGTAGATGCAAGACCGCATGATCGTGCATGAGGGTGTCAGAAAAACTTAACCCCATGCTTCATTTAAACATTTGAAAACTAAATTCGTATAACTTAAACATAGGTCCAAAGCAGACCAACCACACGGGGTTTCTATACATTTCGGCTGCAGCGCCATCCATTGGGCTTATTTTCTGCAAAACCATTGCTTACCATAAAATGAATACGTGTTATGAATTTCTACCTTAACTCCAGCGGCACTAATCGGGTAAATTTTTATGAAAAGAATTTTCTATCATACAGGTACATAGCTCACATTTAAAATTTGAACGAAATCGGTTAATAAATACGATTTTTATAAATAACTCTACTCCAGCACCACCTAGCGAGTTTTATAGTAGCATGTAATTGGACCATATATGTATGTAAGATAACCTCCGACAATCTGACGGACCTCTATTCAGTGTTTTTTGAGTTTATTCCGAACAACGAAAACGGCTATCATTTTATGCAAATAGGTATGTAGATAGGACAGTTTATAGCGAAACTCGTAAAAGCAAAGCTCCATTCTTTGTGAAAAACTTAAAAAAATTCTTCAAAATTTTCACAAAAATTTTACTTTACTGAAAATTAAAGACAAAGTTAGAATAGTTCAATGGGATTTATAAATCTAGGAGAAAATGATTCCCAATCGAGTGATACTTGCGCGTTTACGTAAATGTATATCGATCCAGCCTTTCCAATAATTATCACTTTTCGCCATAACTACGGTATTGATAACATATGTAGCTGTGTAGAATTTCAGGACGTTAGCGTAAGCAGTTCCAGACATAACCTATATGAGAAGTTCAGTTTGCATGGAAGGAAGGAGCCACGCCCCCTTTCCCAATGCATTTGCAATATATGCATCAGTGCTAAGTTTCAGTTCCCCAGCGTAATTGGTTTTAGTGATATATTGTTTTTTTACGTTTTAGTCTGTATAAGAATTTTAGGAATATCCCGAGCTAAATACCGAGTAAATTTTTGGTCAGAATATTTATTTTCAACGTGTTGCCAAATATGAACCAAGTCGATGCAGCCGTTTAGTAGTTTAGTGAAATGCATTGTAAAGAGAACTGTATGAAATTGTAAAACGTAACGTCTCAGATTTCTTAATTTTTTTGGCAGCAACAACGAAAAGTTTAAATTTTTTTTAGCGAAAACCCTTCCAAACAGAAATAAAAAAAAAATAAGTTTGTGGTTATATCAAGGCGAAATTTTGAGAACGGTGCGTTGCTAACTCTAAATATAAACAACGACGCACTGGAAAAAGTTAATACGTTCAAATACCTAGGAATAATGATCGGCGATCGACTAAAACAAAAAAAAAAATGGATTCTATATTTTCAATTAGAGCTCTAGCAAAACTGCATTTAATTCCATACATTAGCTTTTGCGTGATGCGCTTGCAAACATACAGACAAACATACCGAAATTTTAGATTTGGCTTCTGTTGATCTAATAAACCCCCTATTAATTTTTCTTTATCATCTATTATGTACAGATATCGGCCTGTTGCAATTTTATTATTCTCAAGTACTCTCGTTTGATACCCATATGGCAACACTTAGTTTATATAGTAAATTTAACTGAATTAAAGTTTTCAAATAAGTGGCAACCCGCTTCAAGAATATTTTCAAAAGTAAGCTTCCTAATCCTCTTTAGTTTAATATTCGTATTGCAATATTTCATTTATTTTACAAATTTCAATGAATACAATCTTTCAATCAGTTGGCAAATCCCCTAAAAATATTTTCAGGATTAAAATTTCCTATCGTCTTTAGTTTGATGCCAATATTGCAATATTTAATTTATGCTATCAATTATATTAAATTAAAGTTTTCAAATAGGTGGCAAC